CGAACTGCTAGGTGGGCAGGAGCTGGGACCGAACGGCGGGAGCTCACCCCGCCGCGGGGATTTGAACCGCTGACCTTACGATCAGCAAGTCCTAGGCACTGAGGTTTTACCCACAGCGCCACCCGCGTCCCAGAATATAAATTAGTGATGGATTAATACTTGATCATCCACACATCATTCCCTATTACAGCATTAGTTGTTCTGTGATGCTTCCCCAATGTTGTACCAATATTGCCATCTGGAGGGCACTCTGTAGCGCAGCAATCGTGGGACAATAAATAAACTGGAACATCAACTGTGGTATGCAAAGTTACAGTACTTCAGAAGGAAGTTATGGAACATGCACCAACTGGAAGCAAAGCAGTATATCTTCCCCAAATCTTTTGATGGTACAAGCAGCATTTAAAGCAGGATGACGTATAACTGCCCCAATCCCATCATGAGCACGAATAATCATGGATGTACAATAAAAAGGATGTCCAGAGGGGTCCTAGGTGGGACCAGATTCCACAGAGTGGTTGCTTCTTAAGGCATGTTACACTAACTGTGTACTGCTCACTTACACTCTGGATAGCTCAATTGGTTAGAGCATGGCACTGACAATGCCAAGGTTTCAGGTTCGATCCCCATGTGGGACAGCTGTGTATTCCTGCATTGCAGGGGGTTGGACTAGATGACCGCTGGGTCCCCTTCCAACTCTATGATTCTATTATCTGTGCCTTTTCTTTAAGTACATGTGTGGAGGCGGGCGGTGCTATCAGGACAGGATTGCAGCACCCAGGGAGGGGAGCCTTATCCTGACCCCCTCCAACCATGATCCATACAAAATCCCCCCTCCAGGACCAGGCGTCTTGGGGGAAGGAATGCTCTCTTTGGTACAAATGGGAGCTTTCACCCTAAGCTTCATAGTTGTGCTGTGTGGGGCAGGTGCAGGGAGGGATATTCATCTGGGTCACTGTTGCAGAGGAGAGGGAAGGGACAAACTGTATGACAGCCACCTCCTTTGCACCTGCAATTATTATTATTATTATTATTATTATTATTATTATTATTATTCCCTGTCTTCTATGCAATCAAAGCAACATCCAGTTTGGCACTTAAGCCACCCCGATACATCCATCTCAGCTGGTTAATTCCAGTAATGGCTAGCTAGGCAGTGCCTTCTCATCCAAAGCGGAAACACATAGCGAAAAAGCATTACCTTTTTCCCATGAGCAGCTCCCATGATTTTAAGGAGTTCAGTGCCGTTCCCTGGAGGGTTTCGATTTAACTCTCCTGGCTTTGGCAATGCGTGTCAGAGAAAAGGCACAACACCGGCCCCCTTTAGAGAAACGGATCTTTCTTATTCTGCCCCGCTGTGCATGTCCCTATGTGCGGACAGACGCCTTCTGCACCCTGCGCTGGAGAAAGGGCTGGTGGTGCACAGCTCCTTGCATTCCCATTCTACTCGCTGAGTAAGAGGAGCAGAGGAGCATCGGGGACAGCAGGCTCTTCAAGGTGATGAGCAGAAAAGTTTTCCCTTGATGGCTTCCCCTGGCATGTCAAGAATTCATTCCCCCCTTCCCTCTCCCCCTTATATACCTAACGACTGCCAGGGGCTACACACAAAGGCCGCTTTCATGCTGTCAGTGCCCAGCTTCTAAGCAGAGTCCCTTCTTGTGGTGGTGGTGGGGGAAAGCCTGTAGAAGATTAGAGTAATCAGACTTGACACAGCAAGATGTCACAGAACGCAGAGCCAAGCTGAGAAGGAATTCAACCTGCGCAGCACAGCTGGGCCTCAGCACTCTGAGCTCCTTCCTTGCCTAGAGGTTTTGTGTCACCCTGTCTTCTTCTCTTCCTCTATCCGTATCCCCACGGGCTTCTTACCTCAATGAAGCTTTGGTGAGAGAGCTTTGGGAAAGGAGCACACGGAGACCCGCTTCTGGAGGAACAAGGTGGCGGGTTCCTGCTGGGATCAAGTCTTCTGCGCCACTGAGATCAGGAACAGCCAGGCGGTCCCTGAACTCTCTCCCCATCCCGCACCCCCCAAATTCTTGCTGCTGCCCACAGAGAAGAAGCTTAAACCATGATGTTGCATAACGTGAAGGCAGCAAGCCATAACCAGGGAACAAATCAGCCCTGAGCGGACTGGCACAGCCCTCTACTTAATGTGGTTCTGTGCTGTTTCAATGGGACAGTCCTATGCATTGTCTTCGGTACAGCTAACACAGTGGTTTGACTTGACCCCAGGAGGCGCACTCCATTGTCCCTCAAGACAGACAGAGGCCAACAGCGCCTATCATCCTCAGCTGCTGTGGCTAATGGTCAGAAAGGATGGGAGGCACCTCCTTGGCTACCCCTAATCTATTTTTTTGAATGCTAGTTTTTAAAACACGTATATCTGAACTTCATGGTACAGAAGGAGCAGCAAAGGTGGATTAATTGCAATTTTGCAGAAACGATGCCAAAATCAGGGAGCCAAGAACAGCACCGAAAAAACATTATCGGTTACATACAATGAAAGCCTGCCAGAATAAAATGGTCTTTAGCAACTGAGGGAATAGGCTGGTGGTAATTCATGGGGCAAAGGGATTCCATAATTCAGGTGCAGCCACTGGGAAGCGTTTTTCTCTTGTCCCAATCAAAACAAGAGGCCCAGTGAATGGCCTCCCCTTCAGAAGTGGGCTGTGTGTTACTGAAGGACGCAGTGAAACTAAAACTTCTTGCACAACCACACCATAGAGGATCCAAAGAAACTTGGAGACTGTAGTTTACTCCTCACAGGGCTTCAATTCCCCAAACCCTTTTGAATGAGCTTCTATTCTTTAACCTATGCTGTCTTGGGCAAGAAGGCTAGTGACTTTTTTTATTTTAAAGAGAAGTTTCTATTCACCAACGACAAGGCCTAACATTTTTTTCTGCTCCTATTCCTTTATAAAGGGAAGATTTCCACCTGCTGGTTAGAAGATAAAACTGTGTCGTCGTTGAACGATTGCCACCATAGCATAGTAGAATTCTTTTTATCTTTGGTATGGAGGATAGGAATATTCATCACCGAGCATTCAATCCAGTTCCAAGTCGCTTTAGTTATTTCCACAGAAGCAGTCTATGGCCGTGAGGCAGAAGTAGGTGTACAGCCGCAGCTTTGTTTGATGCTGCTGTCTCAAGGAAAACTCGCAGAAACGAACACCTGCAATAGCTCAAACCTTTGCCAAAATATATTTCAGGCGCACCCACATCAACAAACATGAGGAACAGGTCTACCTTGTCAGCAAAAGGAACTGGAGTGGGGTATATGCGTGAGGATTGCACAATGGGGCTTCCCCCTTCTTTTCCTCCCGTACACCCATGTGCCCCCAAAACAGTCCTGAGGTTTCCGTCAATATCCCAGAGCAAATGTAGAAGGCTGCCAGTGGGGGGTTGGGGGAGGGAAATTCCTGTTGCACAAGAAGGTCTCATTTTGTGCTCATAGCAACTTAGTTTAATCCCACCCCTGGTTTCAAACCTATTCCCACTGTCATTGCTGGATCCAATTTTCAAAGGTCTTTGGGGGCAAGATGCTCCCATTTCTCCCCTGCCTCCCGTTGGAGTGCCAGCACCTCTTCCCCTTCCTTATTTTTTGCTTTATTTATTTCATAAAATGTATTTACCACTTGATATATTTTTTTAGGTCTTCAAAGTGGTTGCTATGATGGCCACTGCCTATTTGCTCGACTCAGCATCACTTCCAGAGGCAGAAGCCAAAGGATACACAGGCTATTCTTCCTTGTCCTTGCCTATGCAGAGGGGTTGTCCGAGTAAACAGGCAACAAGGATGAGTAGGAGAAGGACCAGGAGGCTCCAGGGATTGGAAGTGGCCCCCTTGCAGCGGTGTGGGCCTTGGCAAGTCCCTGTCAACTATGCTGTCAGGGGTTGAGTCAGGCGTAGGTCAGCAATAAAACAATAAATCACCTGAGGCTCATCCACCCCTTTGCTGAGATGGCACCATGGCCGGCCCAAGATATTTGCGTACCTGAGGCGAACCACAAAATGGCAACCCCCATACAACCAGGGAAGAAGGGGCGGGAGGAGCCCAGCAGCAGCTGTAAAGGTGGCATTGTGGGGAGCTGCTGAGGAGGAGGCAGATCTGGCCTTCAAACAGCGCATTGAAACCATCACAGCATATTTTGTTGGAAGCCACCCAGAGTGTCTGGGGCAACCTAATCAGATAGGCAGGGTATCATTATCATCACCACTGCCATCTGTTAGAATTCCTGCTCCATGATTGCAGTCATGGGATTGTTGTCTATCACATGACGGTATATGTTTTGACTCCACAGAGTGGGAAGTGACGGAGACAGGATGTTTGTGTAACTGTGTTCCGTGAAGTGGGACTATTGTCCTTTGTTCTTTTTCTCTTTGCTGTCTGATGCTAGAGAGAGAGGAAGCCATGTTGCAGTGCTCCATGTGTGTTTATATGTAAATAAAGTAGATTAGCCGAAATGCTGAGTTGCTGAGGTCTGTCACGCAAGATGTACAAACTCTGCGGATCCCTAAGTGTGCTGGTGTCGGTGATGTTTGGGCAGAAGAAAGATTATGACGCTCCCGAACGATCAACCAGGAGGGAGGGAACATGCCAGTCAGGCATGTGTCTCTACCAGGGTCCTACTCATGTGTAGGCCAAGCTCCTGACACCATCATGGTAGTGGTGGAGGCACAGCTCCTGTGAATCTTGCCGCCTGAGGCGGTTGCCTCATGAGTGGGACGGCCCTGACCACCACAGAAAGAGGATGGGCTCCTCTTGGCTTGGTCAGGCCCAGCTGCTGCAGGCTTGTGCTACTACCGCAAGGGGCAGGGCTACCTATGGCCCTCTAGCTGTTGCCGGGCAACAACTCCTCTCAACTGGTCATCACTGACCCAAGTGCCAGGAACTGATGGGAATGGGAGTCTAATAACAGCTAGAGGGCCTCAAGTCCCCCCCCCTCTGCTAATGTAAACGAACGCTTGGAAGAAGCAGAAATTACCAGCAATACCATTAGTAGTAAACATAGACAAACAAATGAAGGATTTTATGAAAGGGGTATAACAGAACAAACATTTCATAGCAACACTAAACACAAGAAAAACTAAAATTATAAAAAGGATGTATTTTTGTTGTTAAGCAACAACCCCAAAATTGGAGTGATTTAACCGTATAATGAAAGAACTACATGAAGACTGAAGACACACATACCATACAGAGAGCTCAGTCTTCTCAGATCCCCATTTTTATATAATATCTGTCAATATGGCCTATCAGGGAACCAAATGCTGATAAGACAGCCTTCTCCCTTCCCTGCTCACTTACCCACACAGTATTGTATCTAATACAAGTCCTACCTTCAGAGTAGATTCACTGAGATTAATAGACCTAAGTTAATCATGTACCGGTACATTAATTTCATTGGACCTGCTTGAGTGGGACTCACATTGGACACAACCCTGGTATCACTGAGGACTTGTTGGTTGTGCTGCCATTGGAGGCTGCCTGGTTGGCACTGACCCATGGCAGGGCCCTTTTGGTGGTGGCTCCCCGGTTGTGGAATGCCCTCGCTAGTGAGGTACACCTGTTTTCATCACTATTAACTTGAATTTGAAACTCCTGTTTGCTCAGGAGTTGGGTGTCTGAAGAACACTCTTCCTGACAACTTGGGTGGAAATATGTCTTTAATCACAACTGCTTCTAGAATGTTTTAAAACTCTAATTTGTGTGTGTTTTAATATTGTTTCAAAACATTTTCCTTAAAAAATAATAATTGTGCATCTGTTGCTGCCCTGGGCTCATCAAGGAGAAACAGTGGGATATTCAATAAATAAATAATAAATAAATCACTGCCTCCTCCCCTGGCTTTGAAACAAAGGAACCTATGCCCAGGGGGCTGTGGTGGAAGCTGCGCGACCATGCAGTTGTGTGTGGGTTGTGTGTGCTTTGTTTCTGAGCCAAAGAAATGATGGCAGCAGCGGCAGCAACAGCGACTGGCAAAAGATCCATGTTTGAGGGAGTCCTCAGCCAAGTGCCTTTTAAGGTTCACCTGGCCATGGGCGGTGGCAGCAGCGGTTGCACTCGGCTCCTTGGTGTGCAACTGCCAATTCCATATCCCACACTGCCCCTGGCGTTGTGCTGCGTTGGGGCGCTATGGGAAAACAAAATGGCCGCCACCTGACACTGACTGGATTAGCCGTTTTAAAAGGGGGACTAGGGACAGGCATTAGTGAGAAGCCCTGCCAGTGAGCTAAGGGCCCTGACAGCTGCCCATGGGTGCTGCTTTCAGGCACCATGCATTGACAGACCTATCCAACTTTTGATTTGCTGCTATGGTAGAGGCAGATAGGGCTGACATATGTCCAAGTTTTGAATTTGCAAAACGTCTGGGGAAAGCCGAATATATGGCAAGTCTTTTTTTAATGCTTTAAAGATCCAAAAAAGCCCCAAAACTTTATTTTTGGGGGGAATATGTTCCCCCCAAAAGCTCAACAGCTGTGCCCCCCTCAATAAAAAGGCTCAACGACTTTGCCAGGATTTTCACTTTTAGGAATATGGCAACCCTAGAGGTAGAACTTAATATAAAAACAGGCCTCACAGCATATCCACAGTGCAGAGGACTCTCTCTCTATAAATATACATACTTGTGTGTAAATATTATGTGTGTCTTCAGTTCAAACAACTCTTCTAAAGCTGTTTGCTGTTGCTGTTTGAGGGTCCTGGCTTCCCACCTGATTCCAAAGGCATTACATAAACCGATTGCTGAATACCTTTCACAGATCCACTTCTTCACCTCTGTAGAATCTATTATTAATACAACGCAACAGTGCACTGAAATCCTGCTGGCCCTGCACTGAAATGAAGCACTCTGTGTTCAAAACCCCACAGGGCAGAGGGTTGAGTCTGTTCGAATTGGTTCCACCATATCTGAGGCAAAGTGAAAAGTCTGTCAGCTGGGGGCCACCGGTAGCTGTTCTGAATTTAGCTCATTGTCATTCCATCTTCTTAGGTACACAGCCCTCCATTTCCAGAAGCTCAGGCCAGCCGTCATACTTGTTTGTCTCCTTATCATTTTTTAGGTGCTGTGGAAAGTAAAATAGAGAGAGACCATCAGCTATTCAATGAGCTTGGTGCATAATAATACCCCTTTACGCTTTTTGCATATGATTGTTAACTGCTGGAGAGCTGCACATATGGCTATGCCTTATACTGAATCAAACCATTGGTCTGTCAATCTCCATACAGTGGTACCTTGGTTTACGAACTTAATCCGTTCAGGAAGTCCGTTCTTAAACCAAAGCGTTCTTAAACCAAGGCGTGCTTTCCCATAGCAGCAGGGGACTCGATTTACAAATGGAACACACTCAACAGGAAGCGGAACATGTTCTGCTTCCATGGCAAAGTTCACAAACCAAAACACCTACTTCCAGGTTTGCAGTGTTCTTAATCCAAGTTGTTCATAAACTAAGCTGTTCTTAAACTAAGGTACCACTGTATTTCGATTCTATTCTCACTGGCAGAGCAGGTCTTCCCCATTCCTACTTCCCAAAAAGATCCTTTAACTGGAGATGTTGAGGGTTAAAGCTGGGACTTTCTGCATGCAAGTAAGTCCTACCCCCTCCAACCCTTTCAGGGCACTTCCATGCTGCTGTTTGTCAAATTTAGCATTAATCTAGGAATATGGGAATAGAAACTGCCAAAGAGAGGCATGCAGTTGTGTACGCTCTGTGCAATAGACTTCACTCCCAGTGACCCAGCCCCATCGTCCCCAGCCTGCTCCAAACTACCGCCTGAGGCAGTCTGCCCAACTGCCCAAGTGTTCATACCATTAAGGAAGCTTATCCTAATGTATTGCCAAAACCCGTTGTCAGGGGCTCAGGAGCAGAGGCACAGGGGAGAGAGGAAATGGAGAGCGAAGGGGAAGAATCTGAGGGCAGCATAGGGGAGTATGACAGTGACCCGAGAGATTCCATGAGCTTCTCCAGCGAATCAGAAGATTCCCAGAAGGGGGCGCCGATGGTCAGGGCAAGGGGGGTCCCAGGGGGGACGCACCAGAAACAAGGGGCCAGCGGGGACTCCCAAAGCAGCAGCGGGAGATCAGGACCAGCTTCCCCACCAGAGTGTAGTGGGGGGGAAGAGTCCCATGTGTCAGGGCCAGCGTCTCCTCCAGCGGGGAGAGAAGATGAGTCAGGGCTGACCACGCCTCTATCGGAGAGTGGGGGAATGGAGGGGAGGTCAGGTCCAGCTAGCCTCCCCGAAGGGGGAAGCAGTGACAGGAGCAGTGTAACGGTCAGGAGGAAGGTTGCCGGCTGGGCGCGCGCGCCAAGTTCGAATGTACAGGCGCGCGGGACAGCAGAAAACCCGGATTGGGAACCAGGTCCTAAAGCCCGCCGGAGGCAGGGGGAAGACTCAGGGGACTCAGCGTCAGAAGAGTCTAGGAAGGGCAAGACCCCAGCGGACAGGCGGAACCAGAGGAGGAAAGAGCAAAGGAAGAGGTGGAGCAAGGCTAGAGTCTTAAACTGGTGTCTGGGGGGAGGAGATTCAGACGGAGCTTCAGCGGTCTAGAGTTTGAGACGTAGAGCTGCGCGCTACGGCTGTGAAAGCGAAACTGAACTTCAATAAAGACTTTTGTATATAACAATGAACTGGCGTTGGTCCTTTGTGAGCTGGGACCTCGGGCAGCTCTGACACCCGTATCCCTGTAATTTCCACCCTAACTTAAGAGAAAGGGAGTAGCATTTGGTCACCATTCTCCCTGTAGGCTCTGTCCTTCATGTCCACTATATTTTTCCTTGCATCACAATTTGACTTGTGACTAAGTATAGGCAAATCCGCCAGTCTGGGTTTCTCTCAGTTTCTTGTTTCTCCAAACTTAAATTCAGTCCTTCACATCTCTGCACCAATTTGTGATTATTATCATGATTTAAAAGAAATCCTCATGAAATTTCACCAGCATTTAGTGCTAAAGTAAAGGTAAAGGTACCCCTGCCCATACGGGCCAGTCTTGACAGACTCTAGGGTTGTGCGCCCATCTCACTCAAGAGGCCGGGGGCCAGCGCTGTCCGGAGACACTTCCGCGTCACATGGCCAGCGTGACATTGCTGCTCTGGCGCTTGTAAGCGGTCCCTATTTATCTACTTGCACCCGGGGGTGCTTTCGAACTGCTAGGTTGGCAGGCGCTGGGACTGAACAACGGGAGCGCACCCCGCCGCGGGGATTCGAACCGCCGACCTTTTGATCGGCAAGCCCTAGGCGCTGAGGCTTTTACCCACAGCGCCACCCGCGTCCCCCATTTAGTGCTAAGTTCTCCTAATAAACACTTTTTTTGGTATGTTGTCTCTCTCTCTCTCTCTCTCTCTCTCTCTCTCTCTCTCTCTCTCTCATTGCCCAGAATATGATGCATCTTTGTATGTTATTTCCACCAACATTTTTATGCACCCTTTTCCTGAAATAAATGCATTTCTGTAGGTTTTTTTTTAAAAAAAAATTTGGAGAGCTGCATTGCAAAATTCGGAGAAGGGTGAATTTTGAAGGATAGCTGTGATTCAGTTTACATATAGGTCCGAGAAGTGCGAATTAGTTAGTTTCTCATAAAAATGCAGACAAAATCAAATTTCTGCCCTATCCCTACTCACCGTATCCTAGAACAGTTTTTAACCGTGCCAGGATACAGTGAGGTTGACATACGGCAGAACAGGAATGAAGACTAAATACTTGTATTATTAGCAGAGTGTGTACATGCAGAATGGTTTCCCCATTTGAGTGTGTGGAATATGAAGGAGGATGGTTCAGAACACCCTCTGCTTCAGAATAAATGGCTGCCATGCTACCTGTCCAAAATTCAGCACCTCAGAGGGGCATCAATGAGAAGGTGCCAAATGGCCACATCTCTCTCACTAGGTTTTCTCTTGAGCAGCTGCTGACCCAATCTGCTCTGCAAATAGCTCATGCTCAGATTGGTGCAGTGGATGTGCAGGAGGTTATAATGACCACTACAGTGGTACCTTGATTCTCAAATGCCTTGGTACTCAAAAACTTGGTACCCAAACACTGCTGCAAACCCGGAAGTAAATGTTCTGGTTTGTGAACTTTTTTCGGAAGCGGAACATGCTCCGTTTTGAGTGTTACGCTTCCAATTTGAGTGTTACGCTGAGGTCTGTTTGTTTTTGCTATTTATTTTGCATTTTTGTTTTTTGCGGTTCTTTTTGTTTTGTTTTTGTGACTGTGTGGAAAAACCCAGTTCAGCTACTGATTGATTGATTGATTGCATGACTGCAGTACATTGTTTATTGCTTTCATTTTATGGATCAATGGCCTCGTTAGATAGTAAAATTCATGTTAAATGGCTGTTTTGGGTGTTGTTTTTAAAAGTCTGGAACGGATTAATCCGTTTTGCATTACTTTCTATGGGAAAGCGCACCTTGGTTTTGGAATGCTTTGGTTTTGGAATGGACTTCCGGAACGGATTAAGTTTGAGAACCAAAGTACCACTGTATGAGGAAGCACATCTCATAGTTGTGCATCTTTTACTTAGAGACAAGTGTACTAATTAGGGCTGTGCACTAGGATTTGGCCGAGGCCAGAGCCAAATGGGGCATATTTGGAAGAACTCAAGAATTGGACGAACCAGGGAAAGACAGCCCCAGATTGGGTTGGATGGGCCAGAGTGATCTGCTGCTATCTGGGGGCGGGGCATCAGGCAGGAAGGAGAGGCAGGTATCCTATGGGAAAACACCATCAGGAGAAGGAAGGAGCTCGCTTCCTGTACGGTGCAGGTTGCTTCCCTGCAGAGAAGGCACTTGCAAAGGAGCAGGATCGTTGTGAGAGAAGGAAGGTTCACAAATGTCTGCTTAATAAACCAATCCCTGAAAGATAAATATACAAGCAGTATAATCACAGGTACCTGCTCAAAGGGGCTTTTGTTTTTGAGCCCCTTCCCTCCAAGAAACACCCAGTTGTCTCGAAACCCCAGCTTTGTCGCGTGGCTGCTTCCCAGTTCAGCAAACAACTTCCGTGCTTCATCGTTCAGCCTGGAGAGACGGGGAATAATTATTTATTTGTTATACCTTGCATTCCCTTTAAAATTCCAAAGAGGTGTACAAAGCTTAAAACACCTAAGACTTTTTTTGGACAAAATAAGAATGGGGGGGGGGGAGAGAAAGCAGCAGCAAATTGACTGATCCAGGTGAGATGAAGAGTAACAGGCCAGTACTGGAGTACTACAATATATCCAAAACAATGGGAGAAATTGGAAGGATCCCAAAAGAGAAGATAGACAGGGATTGGAAGGTGTTTAAAGGATACTTACTAAACCATATTGAAAAATCAGACCTCCTATTAGAATAAACAAGTTCCGTTTTAAATACTGAAATACTAAATAAGATGGATAACAATGTGTAATAGAAAAAGAAGCATGAAATTAGGTTAAAGGTGTGTGAAAGAAAGTAATAGAAGTGGAAAGAAATTGCAGTTGAGTAGATTGGAAGTCTAACACAAAGGTGGGGTGAGGGGTGGTGGATGGCGATGGGAAAAGGAATTATCTGTGGGACTGAATGTAGGTATGTTTGTATATATTTAAGGACTGTATGAAATGTATGCTTGTATATTTGCAATATGTGTGTATTTTATAATAAAAAATAAAAATTGTTTTTTTTAAAAAAAGAGTAACAGGCTAGTGATTTTCTGAGGCCATCGAATGGATGTGCAGGGAGATTTGGAAACTGGGATCTCTCAGTTAAAGAGCTCAGCTGGCATTATAGCAGTTATACACCAAAGACCCCAGAAATCCAAGCCACACACACCAGTGGTTCACTCACTTTGTTGCTGGGTCATCATAGGAAGCTACGAGCACGATGGTACCTGCGCTAATTGCTTTCAGGAAATCCAAGAGATGCTTGACATCTAACAGGGAAATCAAAGAGAAATTGTGAGGCTTGCTCTTTTCTTATCCTGCCATCTAGTGGTCTCTCAAGATACATGCAGAACAAGGAGACAACATTGAATAGCATTGAATAGGTAACACCAACAAGGACTGGACATATATATATGGTGCTTTCTGAGGTGATTCAGTACACACACACACACACACACACACACACACACACACACACACACTCACTCCAGAACCTACTGCAGATTAAGAAAGAGAGAACACTATTTTTCAGAGGTTCTTAAAGAAAAGGAAGTCCCACATAGAATCATGATCATTACCACATTTATACACCACATTATGCCCAAGGAGCTCAATCTGGGCTCCATGGTTTTCCTTGCTGCCCCATTTAATGACCCCAACAACCCTGTATGGTAAGTTGGGGCGAGAGACCTGCGACTGGCCTAAGAGAACCCAATGAGTTTCATGGCTGAGTGGAGATATGAACGAGTGTCTCCTCAGTCCTAGTCCTACATTATAACCACTATACCATGCTGCCTCCCAAACTTTAACAATAAATATGTGTGTGTGTGTGTGTGTGTGTGTGTTATATACCATATGTCATGCAAAAAGGGTCCTTATGCTATGCCTTGGGACACATCAGCTGCCTGAAAGGAAAATAAAACCTGAAAAAAACAGTACAGTGGTACCTCGGGTTACAGACGCTTCAGGTTACAGACTCCACTAACTCAGAAATAGTACCTCAGGTTAACAACTTTGCTTCAGGATGAGAACAGAAATCGTGCGATGGCAGCGGGAGGCCCCATTAGCTAAAGTGGTACCTCAGGTTAAGAACAGTTTCAGGTTAAGAATGGACCTCCAGAATGAATTAATTTCTTAACCCGAGGTACCACCGTATCTCTATCTTAAAGAATCCTCTCTGCTTGATGGCAACAGATATAAAGCCCTTAAGTTGGCAACAGTGGCGTAGCGTGGGTTGTCAGCACCCGGGGCAAGGCAAGTAATTTGCGCCCCCTAACCCGTGGATTTGCGCCCCCTAACCCCCAGATGTTGCGGCCGGCCCCCCTGCACCCCCCACGCTACGCCACTGCTGGTGAAGGCGCTGCAATTGTGCGTAATTGCGCGGCGAGGTAAAACCAGAGTCCCGAGAACAATAAGCAAGGCTGCCACAACCCCCCGAGGGGTATTTAGCTGGAGGGTCGCCGCCGCCCGAAAGAGAAGCAGCCGGAGGGCCCCGGAAGAACCTGGCTCGGAAGAATCCTCGCTACAGAAGGGCGACTGGCAATTAGGAACTGCGCTAGAGGGAGCGTGACTATCTCTCCAGAGGGAAAGGCCGCAAAGGGCGCCCCACATGCTGGTCAAGGAAGGCTCCCCTCCTCCAAAGCAGACCCGATCCAGGCGGCTCCATAAAGCTCCTGGAGAGAGGCGGGGTGGGGTGGGGCGCGGAGAGACAATGCCAAAACTCAGGGGGCTCCTTGAGCAGAGACACTTGCGGCAGTTTAAGACAATTGCCAGAGATGAGCCCCACATGGGGAGGCAGGGTCCTCTATCGCCCACCCCAGCTGCCCTTCTTGTATCTACAGCCAGTTTGGCAGGGGGCGGTGGAAGGGTCTGGAAGGAGCGGGGACCACCGCGGAGCACACATACCGGGAGCTGGAGAGGCGAGGCCCAGCGTGATAAGCCGAGAAGGGGCCAGCCCGGAAGGCGCTGCTTCACAGCCGAAGCTGTCCTCGGCTTGGGGAGCCGGAGAAGCTGTCGGGTCAGGGCCCTGGCGCAGGCCTAGCTGCTCCCGCGACGCCTCTTTGCTCCCGGGATCGGGGCCGCCAGCTCAGCACTGGAGCCGAGGGAGCCCCCAGGCAGGCCTGCGAGCAAAGGCAGAGCCGCCGGGCGGTGGCCGCTTCTGCAAGGCGGCCGGAGAAGCGGGGACCCCCTCCCCGCGTCCCCCCCACTCGCTCCCCCCTCTGAAACTTTGCTAACACTTCCGCGCTGAGCCTCTGACAATAGGGGCGGGCCGAGGGCACGACGTGGCTGGGCCCTCTGGACTCGCGCCCCCCCAGATGTTGCGCCCGGTGCGGCCGGCACCCCTGGCACCCCCCACGCTACGCCACTGGTTGGCAAGGAATGCCATGTTCCATTGGGACCCAGGTGTCTTTAAGTTTGGTAGTTTCCGTGCAGAGAAGGCTAGGTTTTGCTTCCATGGATTCATCAGTCAATGTACACATTTTTTTCACGAGCACCTGCTTTTTACACCCTAGCATATGTGCACTGCGCATTGCTTGGCTGAAGGACCACATTGCAGAATCCTCAGCACTGCAAATTTGGAAGAACGGCTGTGTTTCATTGTGCATATTATTCCAAAAAGTGCAAACAAGGAAGCTTCACCTCTGAACGCAAACGGAACCTAATTTCTTGAAGAGTTTGGATTTGATATCCCGCTTTATCACTACCCAAAGGAGTCTCCAAGTGGCCAACAATCTCCTTTCCCTTCCTCCCCCACAACAAACACTCTGTGAGGTGAGTGGGGCTGAGAGACTTCAGAGAAGTGTGACTGGCCCAAGGTCACCCAGCAGCTGCATGTGGAGGAGCGGAGACGCGAACCCGGTTCCCCAGATTACGAGTCTACCGCTCTTAACCACTACACCACACTGGCTCTTCCCTTTTCCTATGAGCAAGACACAAATTCTTTCCTTCAGCTCTTCCACCTACATGTTGCCACTCAGAGCTGGTCCATTCATTCTGCCGGTTGGCGCTCTGCAGCCAATATAGTCAACTCTGTGATTGGCACTCTGTGGTTGACCTACCTCCAGAATACATGTCAAAGGCGGCCGTCTTGAGAAGCTGTCCACTGCTTCCTACATATTGGAATGGAAAAAACAGCTTTAAAGGTAGCATGCTTATATACAGACATGTTCTTCAGATATATTAGAGCAGTGGAATAAATAATAAAATGTTCCCTGGTTTCAATTAACTATTGCACTTAAAAAGAGAGAGAGATTTCTGAAACACAAGCTTTTAATCTGGATTTTCTTAGTATGCAGAAAACATCTAATCCAACCTGCTTCTTGATGCAAGAAAGCTACAGCAACCGTGAGTCTCACATTGATGTTGGACTACATCATCCCTGACCTCTGGCCCCTCTAGCTAGGGCTGATGGGAGTTGTAGTCCAACAACATCTGGGGACCCAAGGTTGGGAAAGGCTGAACTAGAGCATTGCCAGCAGATGGCTGTCCAGCCTCTGATGGAAGACTTCCACATCTTGAACTCAGAAGCGGCTCACCTGACAGAGCAGAGCTCCAACACTAGCTTCCTGGCAGGTGTGTCTTGCTCTTCCTTTACCAGAAAGGAGAGGGGTGAGGAGGCAGAGAAATCAGTACAATGAAGATGCACTGGCTGAGGCAATCCAGAACGTCCACCAGTGGAACCGCCCTGCATTGGTCTCACTGCTTCACCCTCTCCCTCCCGGTAAGCAGTTGAGACACATCTGCCAGGAAGCAGGCGTCGTAGTTCTTATGCTCCACCAGGTGAGCCTCTTCTGACCTCGACAGCTCAAAGTAACACGCACCACTGTTTGAACTGCTCTTAGCATTAGACGTCCCTCTTAACGTTCACTTTACCACTTCAGCTGTCACAGCTTCGCCCAAAGAATCCAGGAAACAATGGTTTGCTAAGAGTGCTGGGAACCGTAGCTGTGGGTAAACTAAGTGCTTAAAGACCTCCTTCTTTGGAGGTCTTTAAGCAGAGGCTTGACAACCATATGTCAGGAGTGCTCTGATGGTGTTTCCTGCTTGGCAGGGGGTTGGACTCGATGGCCCTTGTGGTCTCTTCCAACTCTATGATTCTATGATTCTTTGGGGGACGCCGTGTGTTTTAAATGCAGGGTTTGCACGCAGCCAATGTCAGTGTGGCAACCTTCAAAGACACTGCTTTACTGTGCTCTCATCCTCCCCTGTTCCCTGTGATAGGGGCCAGCGGCGTAGCGTGGGTTATCAGCACCCGGGGCAAGGCAAGTAATTTGCGCCCCCTAACCTGGGGCAAGGCAATTAATTTGCGCCCCCTAACCCGGGGCAAGGCAAGTACAGTAATTTACTCTCCCAAGCAGCAGCAGAGAGGCTTCTCTTTCCCCCGCGCTCTCCTGGAGCTGCCTCTTTCCTTTTTTTCCCTTTCTCCAAGGCTTTTCGCTTTCTCTCCTTAATTGATTCCTCCTCCACACCGCAGCGTTTCCTGGCTGCTTCCCCCCCTTCCCCTCTCTCTCCTCCTCGCTCTGCTTGCCTTGCCCTGCCTGAGGGCGCCCTGAGGAGACTCCGCTCTCCTTTTTGACCAGGCGAGATGGAAAAGTCTCTTCCCGCCCCCTCGCCAGACTCCCTGCTCGGCTCACTAGCCAGGCGGCCAGTGGAGAGAGAGCCGCAATTACCATAAAGCTCCTCTCCCTCCGCTTCACCAAGCTGTCAAAGCCCCGGCAGCAGCAGCAACGGCAGCAGCAGGCGCAGCCAGACCCCCGCCAGCCAGCCAGCCCGCCCGCCCGCCCGGCCGGCTTCCTCTCCTTTTTTTGCCCGCGGCAGAAGGCTTTGCTCTCCCCCTTCTGCGACCTCCTCGCCAAGCCGAGCGAGCGCGGGCTCCCTAACCCGTGGATTTTAGTAGGGGCAGAGAGCTGCTAGTGCGAGCGCGCCCCCCGCCCATGTTGCGCCCGGTGCGGCCGGCACCCCTGGCACCCCCCACGCTACGCCACTGATAGGGGCTATTTTGCAACCTCAAAGCACCAAACAAAGGACCTTCTGTCTCCATTCCAATCTTCACGAGCAAGTAGTGTTTTATTTTTTAAGTTTGCAGGCTGCTTGACAGGAGGCTTTGACCTTTCTTAGACTGACTACTTAGTGTTTTGTCTTTGTTGCTGTTGTTGCATGGCTTTAATATACTGTTTTTTGATGCGATATTGACACACTGTTGTGTTGCTTTATTAAACTGTCAAGAGGACTTGTTGACCTATAATGCATTAAACGGTTAAGGACCACAACACCTCAAGGACCGCCTCTTTCCATATGAACCTACCCGAACCCTGAGATCATCTTCCGAGGCCCTCATTCATGTGCTTCCTCCTCAGGAGGTCCAGAGAGTGGCAGCACAAGAACGGGCCTTCTCTGCAGTGGCTCCCTGTCTGTGGAATGCTCTCCCCAGGAAGTTCACCTGGCACCTTCATTATATACCGTTAGGCGCCGGGCAAAAACATTTCTCTTCAACCAGGCCTTTGGTTGATTTGATTGACATCCTATGCCCTTCTAAAATGTGTTTAGTAAAAGGTAAAGGGACCCCTGACCATTAGATCCAGTTGTGACCGACTCTGGGGTTGCGGCGCTCATCTTGCTTTATTGGCTGAGGGAGCCGGCGTACAGCTTCCGGGTCATGTGGTCAGCATGACTAAGCCGGTTCTGGTGAACCGGAGCAGCACACGGAAACGTCGTTTACCTTCCTGCCGGAGCGGTACCTATTTATCTACTTGCACTTTGACATGCTTTCGAACTGCTAGGTTGGCAGGGGCAGGGACTGAGCAACGGGAGCTCACCCCGCCGCTGGGATTTGAACCGCCGACCTTCTGATCGGCAAGTCCTAGGCTCTGTGGTTTAACCCACAGCACCACCCAAGTCCCACCAAAATGTGTTTAGGGGGGAGTTATTGGGTTGTTGTTTTTATTTTGATCATGTGCTTTGTGGTTTTATATTCTATGATCCACCCTCAGAGCTGCGGGTATATGGCGGTATATAAATTCAATTACGGTAATCATCATCATCATCACCATCACCATCCTCAATGCTGCATATCAATAAATAAATGAAACTCATGCATGAGATGACTCTCCTGTTAGCCTCTGTAACAGGGTTGGGGAAACCTCTGGCCCACCGCCAGACTTAGAATAATAGAATCATAGAAGCACAGAGTTTGAAGGGACTCTAAGAGTAATCTAGTCCAACCCCGGGCAACGCAGGGGGTCTGTGTATGGATCAAACTCATGACCTTGGCACAATCAGCACCATGCTCTAACCAGCTGAGCTAGGCAGCTTGGCCCACCAGGCCTCCCCATTTGGCCCACTGGGCCTTTCCCCCTAAATCATACCCACCCACCCCACAACTGATATCATATGTGGGGTTCAGGCCTGGGGCAGGTACAAATATGACTATGAAGGAATAGTCAGGAGCTTGACGTCCTGCAAGTCTCCCCACTGTTTTGGCAACGGTTTCGGGTGGCACTGTGGCTTAAACCGCAGAGCCTAGGACTTGCCGATCAGAAGGTCAGCGGTTCGAATCCCCGCCATGGAGTGAGCTCCCGTTGCTCGGTCCCTGCTCCTGCCAACCTAGCAGTTTGAAAGCATGTCAAAGTGCAAGTAGATAAATAGGTACCACTCTGGCGGGAAGGTAAATGGTGTTTCTGTGCGCTGCTCTGGTTCGCCAGAAGCAGCTTAGTCATGGTGGCCACATGATACAGAAGCTGTATGCCGGCCCTCTCAGCCAATAAAGTGAGATGAGAGTCGCAACCCCAGAGTTGGCCACGACTGCACCTAATGGTCAGGGGTCCCTTTACCTTAGCCTTCAGTGTAAACTGCTTTGTGCTCCAGGAGCAGGAAAGCCTCTCACGCTGCGGTTCCCAAGCGCCTGGAAAGTGTTGCACAATGAATTTTGACATGTGGGCGAGGCAATCCACCAGTCTGGTGATTGACGGATGGGTTGTGCCACCCACCTCTCAAGGTTGCCAAAGGGCCCGCAGGATGCAGGATAGTATATACCTGCTTGACCACTTTGATCTGCAGAACTGGTATCGTTAAACACATCACCTAATGCCCCTTCTGCACTTGTAAGAAATCCATCGCTGAGTGTGCATCACCCACACTTTAGAACTCCCTGCCTGTGGACATCAGGCAAGTGCCATTGCTGTATTCTTTCTGGTGCCTGCTTAAAACATTTTTGTTCGGGCAAGTAACGTGTGTTTTATTTCTTTTTAGCGACCGTTGGTTTTAACCATCTTTTGAACGCTTTAAATACCTGTTTTTAAACTGGACTTTCATTGATAATTTCCCCATGTTTTATTTTATATTGTTGTAAACCATTCAGAGAGCTCCCCACCAACACCATCAAGCAGTATGCACGTTTTGTCTAGTAAATAAATACAATAAGAGTCTGGCCCACAGGGCAGGGCAGGACAGGGCAGAGTTCCCCTGCTCTATCCTCTCAGCAGGAGGACTGCCCTGGGCAGCGGCGTAGCGTGGGTTGTCAGCACCCGGGGCAAGGCAAGTAATTTGCGCCCCCTAACCCCTAACCTGCCGCCACTGCCAGCTTCTTCTTGCTGCTGCCTGGGCTGGGGTATTTACGGTAAGGTAGCCACGGCGGCGGCGGGTCCATGTCAGGTGATCTGAGGCAAGTTGCTGCTGGCGCTGCCGCCCAAACGACGCCGCTTGCCCGGAGGAGGAGGAGGGCAGAGAGGCGAGGAAAATGCAACATGGCCCAGCAGCTGCAGCAGCAGCAGCAGGGCTGTGAGGAGGGGCTGCCTGGCGCGCCCTCCGCGGCCCTGGCGGCGGGGACCGCGGCGAGCGCTGAGAGCTGCTGCCAGCTCGTCGGTTCCGCGAGACATGGGGCTCTGCTACAGCCTGCGCCCAAGGCTCTTCGGCTTGCCCGGAGGAGGAGGAGGGCAGAGAGGCGAGGAAAATGCAACATGGCCCAGCAGCTGCAGCAGCAGCAGCAGGGCTGTGAGGAGGGGCTGCCTGGCGCGCCCTCCGCGGCCCTGGCGGCGGGGACCGCGGCGAGCGCTGAGAGCTGCTGCCAGCTCGTCGGTTCCGCGAGACATGGGGCTCTGCTACAGCCTGCGCCCAAGGCTCTTCGGCGACTCCGGAGGCGGCGAGCGCCCCCCCAGATGGTGCGCCCGGCCCCCCCTGCACCCCCCACGCTACGCCACTGGCCCTGGGGGTTCTGGACTTCCCAGAAGCAGCCATTGTTAGCCAGGTTCAAGGGGAGCTGTCTACTGGGACTCAATACAGTGGTACCTCGGGTTACAGACACTTCAGGTTACAGACTCCGCTCACCCAGAAATAGTACCTCAGGTTAAGAACTTTGCTTCAGGGTGAGAACAGAAATTGTGCTCCAGCGGCACGGCAGCAGTGGGAGGCCCCATTAGCTAAAGTGGTACCTCAGGTTAAGAACAGTTTCTGGTTAAGAACGGAGCTCCAGAACGAATTAAGTTCTTAACCAGAGGTACCACTGTAAATGGATGAACAGGAAAGAAGTCATTATAACCAGGGCAAGCCAAGGTCCAAAAAGGATGGTCTAAAAAACATTCCCCTTTACATTAACAGCATTTGCAGTTGCCTCTCGCGGCCTGCCTGCTGCTTCCTTTGTGCAAAGTACACAATGCTAAGTCACACACAGAAGGGTGTTTGTGTTAGCTGCAGCTCACCGAACACGTTTTCCTTCAGACCTGAATGGTGACCACTTCCCATTGCGCTTGCCAGATGCCATGCCATTTTCTCAAGGTCAAAGCACTTATCTTTAAATTTTATGAGAAGAAGGGATCGGCTCAGTTTTTATTGCACAAGGAAGGAGAGGCATGCTGCTTCCATCCGTGTTCCAATGCTCAACTTCCCCATCAGCCTAGACTGGAAAAGGGTGTGTGGAGTGGAGCGTCATTGTGCACCACCCGGATGGAACGCAAACCATTCACTCCAAAGCGAAATAGTTTGGACTGATTTATTTTAATTTTTTTGCTCCAGGAACTGAGAACTGCAAACAAGAAGAGTTGGCTAGACTGGAGCTTCTTGAAAACCGGTTTCGCACTGAGCTGCCAGACACCAAAAACATTGTTCACCTTCTGGATACCAAACCCCACCCTATCCCAGCATCAGTCAACTGTCTGGCAGCTGAGCCTGCAGAGATCCTCAGGTACAGTTACGGACTTTCCGGACTGCATGTGCCTGCAGATCAAGCTAAAGTAACATTCAATATATTCAGCTTTTAAAATATGTGTTCTACCCCTCCCCTCAAAAAAAAATAAAAAATTGTAAAGGAGGGTTCTTCTGAAAAGATGCAAAATGTCATTAAAAATAATAATATTGGCATGGTTTGGGCTAGAGGACAGGGTTTCCATATCAGAAAGCCAGTGGCATAGCGTGGGTTGTCAGGACCCGTGGCAGGCAAGCCGCTACCGCAGTGCCCCCTCCCCCGGAGCCAAGCAGGGCCATACTGTGCTGCCTGCCTACACAGGGGGGAGCCCAGCCAGCCACTATGGCCCTTGATGGGCAAATCCCCCCAGTACCTACTGAGAGGAGCAGTGGGCCGGGCTACACTGGAGTTAGGCGTTGCCTACCTCCCTCTGTCTGGGCCCACTCAGCGTGGACATGTGCTGCTCTGCCACCTTCACTGGGCCAGGGCAAGGATCTCTGCGGAAGCTGGAGCCTGTGTGGGGGAGCCGAATTGCACCCCCTCGGAATTTTGTGCCCGGGGCCCCTGCTCCTCCTGGTCCCTGCCACACTATGCCACTGCATCCCTTTTAGACGGGCTGAATCCTTGGGAAATGCCCTGTTTCCTAATTAAGCCTGGACTGCCACAGTTGGTGGATGACCAGTCATTAGTAAACACCCTTGCTTTACAGCAGGAATAAAGTGCCGGTGGCCCTTTAGATAACACCGGACTAGAACTCCCATCATCCCTGATTGCTGGCTGTGCTGGTTGGGACCAACAGGAGTTAGAATCCGGCAGCGCCAGGATGGGGACACCTAAAGGGTTAGAACCTGCTGCTTTTTGCAGACAGGAACGGACTTGGTCCTCTTACGACGCTCTAAGAGAGCCAATGTCAAGAAACGGTTTCCAGCTACATGGTGGCTCTGATGTGGAGGCATGTTCAAGCAGGCAATGGTTTGAGAGGTGGTACAGCCCTACAAGGACAGTGCTGTGTGCCATTGCTCAACAGGTCCAGTCTGTAGGATCTGAATGGGCTTTGCACCACTTTAACACTTCCATCAAAGAATCTGGAGAATTGCAATTGCATGGAGTGCTTAGCACCCTCTGTTAAAGACCCCTACCACTCCTCTCTCTGCAAAACTACGACTTCCACTTCTGAAGTTAACAGAGAGAGACACCTGAGTTCCTGATACAGTAGGAAGTGTCAGGTCACATCGACACCAGAAAGTTGAAGCACTCTTCTGCAACTTTAACAGTCCTGGTTTCCCCCCAAAGAACCCTGGGAAGGGTCGTTTGTTAAGGGTGCTGGAAATTGTTAGGCGACCCGCCTCACAGAGCTGCATATCCCAGGACCCTTAACAAGCTACAATTCCCAGGATTCCATGGGGGGAAGCTGGAACTGTTAAGGTGGTATAAGAGCACTATAGATGCACGGTGCAGATGTCACGTTCGTGCAGTCACTGCAAAAAGAAACATTAAAAAGGAACCCAAAGAATAGGGGGGAACTGTGTGAAAGGTTGACCCCTAAAAAACAACAACTCACCATTGACAAGCGCAATGTTTATACCCCGACCAACGTTATTTTTTATGCTGCTTAACACCCTGTAAAAGAAGAAGAAGAGGAAGAAAGGGAGGGGGAATTAGGCATATAGGGCTATACAGAAAGTCCTGCTGGGTTGCATACTCAAGGGGGCAGTAGATGGTTGATGGAGAGCCCTGGGTGGGAGGCGGGGAAATGTCAGTCATCCAGGATGAGAGGCTGGGAGGAGAAAGGAAAAATCCCAGGTGAGCTCCTCCCTTCTGTGGGTAGCAAGGCCTAAGAACTACCCTTAAGAGAGGACTCCACCTTCTGTTTGTTCTACCTGTATTTTTTGTAGCTCTTATCTTTTTGCAGTATGGGAAACTTTAATAAAAATCTTATTACTGGAAGAAAAGCTCTGCTGGGTCAGGTAGGTTTGCCATGTTTCAAAAAGTGAAAATGCGAAGACAAAAGTTGTTGTGCTTTGTGTGTGTGTGGGGGGGGGCAAAGTTGTTGAGCTTATGAAGAGGAGGAAGAAGAGTTTAGATTTGATATCCTGCTTTATCACTACCCTAAGGAGTCTCCAAGCGGCTAACATTCTCCTTTCCCTTCCTCCCCCACAACAAACACTCTGTGAGGTGAGTGGGGCTGAGAGACTTCAGAGAAGTGTGACTAGCCCAAGGTCACCCAGCAGCTGCATGTGGAGGAGCGGGGAAGCGAACCCGGTTCACCAGATTACGAGTCTACCGCTCTTAACCACTACACCACACTGGCTCTCTCTTGTATTCCGGCTATGCCCAGGAAATTCCGGGCGTATGGCAATCCGAGGTCAGGCCAAAGGCCCACCTGGCTCACTATCCTGTTCTTACAGTGTCTGGTGCCCATTAAAAAAACCACCTGGGATTCCCATTAACTGGCATTCAGACTGGCATGCTGCCTCTCGCGGTGAGGGCAGAAGACAGCCTTCTCTTCCATGAATTTGCCCCACCCTCTTTTAAAGCCACCCAGGCCACCACAGGCTACTTCATGAAACATGGGCACATGGTGGTGCGTAATGTGCTGCATCTTTGCACAGAACTTACTTAACATTGTCGAAGCACATGGAAGGTCCGACCACATTGGCTGCGCCGCTAGTGATTCTGAAGGCAAAACTATGGCTGGGGCAGGGTCTTTGGTTGCCGCATTTATGCCGGACAATGTGCTTTTCTGACAAGAAAAAGAAAATCCAACCTGCAGTTTGTATCACAGCACTAATATCATTTTTTAAAAAAATATTTTTTTAATGTGCATATTTAGCAGAGGAAAGAAAGGGGTGAGGGGATTATTAGAAACAAATAAAAAGAAAAAATACTAATAGTCAGGTGGAAAACACCATTAGTTCACATTGCAGACAGAGTAATTTGAGTAAATGCATCTGAAGTTAAACATATACATAAATTAATGTAAGTCCTCAATGTCCAGCTAGGCATCCACATGAAGTTGACATCTACAGTGGTACCTCGGGTTACAGACGCTTCAGGTTACATATGCTTCAGGTTACAGACTCCGCTAACCCAGAAATAGTGTCCGGGTTAAGAACTTTGCTTCAGGATGAGAACAGAAATCATGCTCCGGCGGTGCGGTGGCAACGGGAGGCCCCATTAGCTAAAGTGGTGCTTCAGGTTAAGAACAGTTTCAGCTTAAGAACCGACCTCCGGAACGAATTAAGTACTTAACCCGAGGTACCACTGTATATGGTTATGTACTCTGATGCACATAGTCTTGAGACAGTTGTATATATTCATCCTTCACCCTGAGTTCCAGAGAACTGTTAATAAATATCAGGTTATACAACAGAGTTGAACACAAAGGCAATGTACTCACTGGTTGGCTTCACTCCGCTACCTGCAGAGATGGCAAGGAAACAAAAGCAGAATGAAAAGTCTTGGTTGTTTCATGCAGATATTTATACAAGGTAGCAACAAATATGTGACGAGGAAAGAACCCCCCCCCCCAAGTCTTCCTCCCTGGTGTACTCATCATGAATTTGGCACAATAATGCTCCTGCCGTTGCTGGCTTAGCCTTGTTCTAGGAGGAGACTCTCGAGAGTCCCATGGACTGCCAGAAGATCAAACCTCTCCATTCTGAAGGAAATCAGCCCTGAGTGCTCACTGGAAGGACAGATCCTGAAGCTGAGGCTCCAATACTTTGGCCACCTCATGAGAAGAGAAGACTCCCTGGGAAAGACCCTGATGTTGGGAAAGATGGAGGGCACATGGAGAAGGGGGCGTCAGAGGACGAGATTGTTGGACAGTGTTCTCGAAGCTACCAGCATGAGTTTGACCAAACCGTGGGAGGCAGTGGAAGACAGGAGTGCCTGGCGTGCTCTGGTCCAGGGGGTCACGAAGAGTCGGACACGACTAAACGACTAAACAACAACAAAAGGCCAGTTGTGGGGAAACTTTGGTCCTTGGGGTGTTCTGAACTACAACTCCCATCAGCCCCAGCAAGCATGGCCAATGGCCAGGGATGATGGGAAGTTTAGTTCAGTAATATCCAGAGGCCCAAATGTCCCCCACGTCTGTTCTTGGCCCTTACGCACAATCCTCTGGGGAATTATCTTATGGAAGACACACTGAAATGGATGGGACCAGGGGAAGAGCCACATTTTAGCTAGGACCTGGTAAGACCGGGGTGGCACATCCTGTTTCGCCACCTGAGGTGAGATGGGAAGGTGCTGCCCCACTTCCACCCCTCTTACCGGGGTCGTATGGTGGTGCTTGCAAAAGTAATGACGACGACAGCGGGCTCTGGCGAGATCTCGCAGAGTGTGTGAGATCTTGTGAGATTTCAGTGAGAGCTCCTGAGAGCTCAGCAGAAACGGCAGCTGCCCCAGCCTTGCCTCATGGACAAGCCTGCTTTGTGTAGGACAGGGAAATATACTCAGAGTCGAGAGTGGATTTCAGGCTCTTTATTCAGCTCATAGTGGTGAGGAGGAATGGAAGTTCCCCCAGAATATCTGCTTTATATACATTATTTACACAATGGGCCCCACATGATTGGCTAATTCTGGGATTCTGCTGTAGGCCAATCAGGTTGCGGATTCACTTCCACCTGGAGCTGGATTGGGTGGCTCCTGTGGACCAATCAGACTGCTGCCTTCTGGATCCTATTGTTCTAGGACCAATCAGACTATTGCATTCTGAATCCTATTGTTCTAGGACCAATCAGACTGCTGCATTCTGAATCCTATTGTTCTAGGACCAATCAGACTGCTGCATTTTGGATCCTATTCAACTCAGTACATAACAGACAGCTTCCACCAACCCAGTACTCTGGCTGGGGCTGCTGGGAAGTGGTGATGTCCCCAAAGACAAAAATCCTACCTGAATTCTGCTTTGTGGCTGTCAAAGGAGACCACACACATGGTTCCTTCGGGTTTTGACCTGGCAACCCCACGGAGCTATCAGGTGAGGATCTTGGGCCTGCTTCCAATTTTAGGGGTGTGGGAAGCTGCAAGAGAGATCCTTGCCCTCTGGCTGCTCTCTCAGGTGTAAAAGAGGGAAAGCTCAGCGGGAGGAGAGAAGGGGGAAAGTTCTCTGGATACAATCACGACTTACTCACCCAACCAGCTCCTCAAGCTGATGGATTTCATGCCAGTGTGGTTGAAATAGGTGTTGACAAAAAGCCAAGTTGTTGCCAAGGTGAACAGCACGGCCAGGATTCGCAGCAAACCTGAGTCAGAAGGGAGATGGGGGTCAGGTGGAAGGTAGGAGCAGAGCAGGTGGACAGACTGCAGATGGCAAGGCAGAAGGATGAGGCCGGGCGCGTTCCTGAGCAAACAAGCAAGAGCCCAACCCCAAGTCTGCAAATCAGCCCAGCTTTAAAAGCTGGATGACAGCGCAAGTTCTTCATAAGATGGTAGTCATTCAGAAGTCATCGGGTACTGGACCAGCTAGTTCCCTCTCTCTGGGTGGGTCTCAAAAGTTGAGACAATGAACTAAGTCAAGGAGCCACCACTCACAATGAGGAGCTTGCTGGGGCACATTCCTGTTGCAGAGGAGGTTTGATTTAACGAAGGATTTATATTTGCCCATTGTGTGTAAAAGGGCCCTCTCCCTAACTAGGCAAGAAGTCACACTTCATCTGCAGCTACAGAGGCAAGAATGTTATTGGCTCAAAAATGGAAAGAAGAAGAATCCCGACGAAAGAAGGAATGGATATGAAAACTTTTGGAATATGCAGAAATGGCAAAACTTAACGGAAAAATAAGAAATCAAGATAACATTTTTTTTTAAAAAAATAGAAGAATGGAAATGGTTTATTCAATATTTACAAACAAATTGTAAACAGATAAGAACATTGGCAGATTACTGTAATAACCTGCAGGTTTATAAGCATATACATCTAAAGATGAAGAAATGATTAAGTTAATTTGGAATATGCAGAAAATATATTTAAAAAAATAAATTTAAGGAACCACAGAAAGAGGGGGAAGGAAGCCGAGTTTTGAAATCTTAAAATGATTGTAAAATTATTGAAATGTATAAAATTGAAAATCATAAATAATTTTTTAAAAAAGAAGAAGTGATACTGTGTCCACAAGGGCAATAATCATAATAATAATTTATTCCCCACCCATCTGACTGGGTTGCCCCAGCCACTCTGGGCTTCTAACATAATATAAAAACTAAACGCTATGCACAACGGGCATTTAGATCCCCCACAACGCCCAGGCGATGGTTTGATGGAGATTTGAAGTTTGTAGTAATGGATGGAGTGCTGATCTCTTTGGAGAACGAAATGGTGCCTTGGCTATAAAGGCTGCATTTTCTAGAGGGTGGCGGGTTTTGTTTTTGTTCCTGGCCATCTGCACATGTCCCCACGGCTAGATGTAGCTGGCTTTCAACATAATAAGAACATAATAAGAATTCTCCTGGATCAGGCTAAATGCCCATCAATCCAGCATCTTATTCTCAAAGTGGCCAACCAAAGTGGGCCATGGAAAGAGTGCAAGCAGGCCATGAGTGGAGCAGTGTTTTCCCCACTTGTGAGTCCCAGCACCTGGTTTTGTGATGGTGTTTCAGAGCCTAATACAAGAGCACTCCTCCCTCCTGTGGTTTCCAGCAACTGATGTTTGGAATCATTACTGCCTCTTGACTATGGCATTGCCTTCCTGGTTATTCTTATGTGCCTAATAATAATAATAATAATAATAATAATAATAATAATAATTTATTATTTATACCCTGCCCATCTGGCTGGGTTTCCCCAGCCACTCTGGGTGGCTTCCAACAAAACACTAAAATACAATAACTTATTAAACATTAAAAGCTTCCCTAAACAGGGCTGCCTTCAGATGTCTTCTAAAAGTTTGGTAGTTATTTTTCTCTTTGACATCTGATGGGAGGGCGTTCCACAGGGCGGGTGCCACTACCGAGAAGGCCCTCTGCCTGGCTCCCTGTAACTTGGCTTCTCGCAGTGAGGGAACCGCCAGAAGGCCCTCGGAGCTGGACCTCAGTGTCCGGGCAGAACGATGGGGATGGAGACGCTCCTTCAGGTATACTGGACCGAGAAGAATCATAGAAGCTTAGAGTTGAAAGGGACCCAACTCTAGTCTAGTCCAACCTTCTGCAATGCAACCTTCTGCAAAGCCACGAAAGTTGTTGACCATCACTACCTCTTGCAGGAGCAGATTCTATAGTTTATCTATGCACTGCGTGAAGAGATGCTTTCTTTTGTCTGCTTATCTGTCCTAAATCTTCCAACATTTGTAGGGTTGCCCTGGGGATGGTGTTACCTGCCCACACTCCATTTTCCTTGCTGAACTTTCTGCTATGTTGTACCTGACAACGGGTGAGAAACTGACACCAAGGTGAGGTATGTGAGAATATAAAGAAAGTGTCCTGAGGCATTTTTGCCTCGGGGGGGGGGGAAGGGCCTCTTTTCTTACCTGTCACTCTCATCCTTTCGTTCCAACGTAACGAAATATGTACAGAAGCTTGTCAAATGTCGCGAGCCCACTGTTGAAAACAAAAAAAGGTCAGTGGTCTTGATTTAACAAGACATCTAATTGAACGATAAAAATAGCAGCTGTAGAGCAGGGAGAGGGAAAGATTAAGCCACTTTGCACTTTTAAAGCAAATTCACTCAGTTTATACTTCCTCAACCTGTGTGAACCAAAGACACACCTAACCCTTTGAAATTCACACTTGTCCAAATTTGGCAGTGTAGTTCTGCAACAAACACATGTGCCCTGAAATAACTGCTCGCCGAATGCATATTTTAGGCAAAATCACGCACAACACTTGCATGTAGTAGGAGAAATTTGCATGAAACTACATACGAATTTTCATGCAGACTTTGAAAAGAACAAATAATAAAATGATGCACAAATGGGATGAGGTTGAGAAGATGAAAAATTGAGAGCTATAGAGCTAACTACTGTAAATAAGAGGATTTTCGGTTGCTGTTTATCTTTGTGAGACAGAGACAGAGACAGAGACAGAGACAGAGACAGAGACAGAGAGAAGGACATTATTTTGCTGTGTGAATGACTCTTGAGTGGCAAACAATGGGGAAGTGAGTTTATTATGATTGTATTGATTTCCCACCCTTTCTCTTAGAAGCTCAAGGTGACAGCTATAATTATCTGTTCCACTATAATCTTCACAACAACCCAGTATGATACATTAAGCTGAGAATGAGTGACTAGTCCTAGGTTGCCCAGTGAACTTCATAGCTGAGCAGGGATTCAAACCTGGGTCTCCTGAGTCCTAGCCTGACATTCTAACCACCACACCTTTGTCTCTACAATGCCATACATCTCAAAACAGGATGCCTACCAAGCTAGATCTCTGCTCACAGCTGGTCAGCACCGTCCCTTGTTGTTGTTTAGTCGTTTAGTCGTGTCCGACTCTTTGTGACCCCATGGACCAGAGCACGCCAGGCACTCCTGTCTTCCACTGCCTCCCGCAGTTTGGTCAAACTCATGCTGGTAGCTTCGAGGACACTGTCCAACCATCTCATCCTCTGTCATCCCCTTCTTCTTGTGCCCTCCATCTTTCCCAACATCAGGGTCTTTTCCAGAGTGTCTTCTCTTCTCATGAGGTGGCCAAAGTATTGGAGCCTCAGCTTCAGGATCTGTTCTTCCAGTGAGCACTCAGGGCTGATTTCCTTCAGAATGGAGAGGTTTGATCTTCTTGCAGTCCATGGGACTCTCAGGAGTCTCCTCCAGCACCATAATTCAAAAGCATAAATACTTCGGCGATCAGCCTTCTTTATGGTCCAGCTCTTACTTCAGGCGGCCAGTTTTGAGGGGTCATGAAAGGGACAGCAAAAGGTTTTTATTTTAAATTTATTATTGAGGAACTTTTACTCCCAAGGAGTGACACTTGTGGGATTTTCTGTCTCAGGTTGCGAAATAACGCGGTCATGCTGTGTGTGTGTTATATATTTATTATTCTTTTTAATAATTCAGATAGCACATAATCCCATGGTTTCTCATTTATTTATTTATTTATTTAAACGTCTTATTAAATGCAAAAGAGCCGAGGGCTAAATTCCTCTCTCTGCAGGTATATAAATGTTATGTAAAGATTAAAATACATTCAACATTAGTTGTGAAATACATTCCCCCCTCCTGCCATCTCCAGAAGCAGAGCCTTCCTCCGCTATCATACCATTCCAAACAGGAGCACTTGGCTGTCCTTATTTTTTTTTTTTAAAATATGATTTTGAAACTCGGTTTTAAAATGCATCAGAAAGGGTATGCTGCATTGCCTTGCTGCTTTGTAACCTGTCTGGTCTCCCTCCCTTTTCCCTTGAAAGCTGTGTGCTCCTCCCTTCTCCTCCTCTTCCTCTTCTTCTTCCTCCTCCTCCTTCTTTTTCGATCACTCGTAGCCGAGTAAGATTGTCTTCCATGAACACGGTTTTAACAGTGAGTCCGTAAGTGACTGTGGAGGCCAATTCTGGATCCACACGTCCCTCCACAGTGGGGACAATAAACCTTCCTCTTAGCATGTTTCTCCCTTTTGTACTTAGTTCTCCAACTGGAGTACTCCCAGGCCAGTATTTACCAGTTGTCAGTGTTTATACTACATTTTAAAAGCTTTGCCTTGAGAGAGTCTTTAAACCTCTTTGTGTTCCTCCCAAAAACAGCAGAAGAGCCCTGCTGGATCACGTCAAAGGTCGATCTCATCCAGATCCTATTTTTCTCTACAGGGCCCAAACAGCACTTAATCCTCCCCAGCACTAAACCACATCACTGCCCTTTTTCTCTTGCCAAGGCGCAAATGGTAATGTGGTTTTCCGCTCGCACAGCGAGGCCCGTCTTCGTCCCGTCCGTTGCCAACGGGCTTAGTACAGTGTTGTCACGGCTAAGCTGAGAATCCGGAAGCCCTCAATTCAAGAAAGCTCACCTCTATCAGAAACTCAGGAGGTGGTCTTACAGATGCCACTGTTTTCCCAGCTTCACTCGCCCCACAGTCTCCCGCAAACAATTTTACAGTCAACAAGGGGGTGAGCAGAAGAGGGAGAGGGGAGGTGGCAGAGCAATCGTCGGCCACCTCATAATGGAAGCACAGGCAACTCCCAATAACGTTCCAAGTCACCACACTGTTAAGTTTTTGGGGGGACTGCTGTCTATATGGACCATTTATGTGCTGTGTGTGATGGAGAAAAGACTGGAGAGACCTGGTCTGAACAAAGACATTGGATTCTTATCTCATTATACATGACAAAGCCATTTTTCACCTTCTCACCCCTTGCTTTTTCCTGTAAGACCTATTGCAGTCGTTAAGAGTCGTCAACAGGCTCATCACAGCTATCTGCCAATCACCCATTCCCACCACCCTTCTGAGTAATACCCCTCCCCACCTTCTCACTATATAGAAGGATCTGGCAACTTCTGTTTCAGTGTATCTGAAGAAGTGTGCATGCACACGAAAGCTCATACCAAGAACTAACTTAGTTGGTCTTTAAGGTGCTACTGGAAGGAATTTTTTTTGTTTTGACTATGGCAGACCAACACGGCTACCTATCTGTAACTGGAGAAAAGACTGTGAGCTTAATAGACCAGCAGATGAGGAACATAAATCTTTCCTCATTGTGAGTTGCTCCAGCTCCTTGGCCATTTTGATTGCTGTTTATGGAAACGTTTCTAGCCCTTTGTTAGGTGAGGCAACCAGGACTGTACACAATACAGTGGTACCTCCAGTTGTGGACGGGATCCGTTCCGGAGCTCCAGTTGGATCCCGAGGTTTCCGCAACCAGTGGGATTGCTTCTGCGCATGTGCGTGGGGCGAAACCCGGAAAAATACTTCCGGGTTTGCCGCATACGTATCCCGAAGGATATGTAACCAGAGGCGGACATAAGTAGAAGTACCACTGTACTCCAAAACCGGCTGACATAAGTAGAAGTACCACTGTACTCCAAAACCGGCTGTGCCATACATACCAATCATACCAATATTGGTATCTTTACTTGCAGTAATGTTCCCTAAAATGGAATTTGTCCTTTTCACAACAGCTAGCATCTAAATACCCTTAGATTCTGACAGTGTGACGCAGGTTTAGGTGCCTGTCACTTATTCTTGCCTCTTATCTCTGTTTGCATCTGTTCCAAATAACTAGGCGGCTGCGATATGATACCTAAGAAAAATGATTTGTGCGCTGGGAAATACCAGCTTTGAATCATGTCTCATTCATGAATCTCCTAGATGGTTTTAGGCAAGGCGGGAGGGACACAACTCCAAGGATATAATCCAATGCAGGGATGGGGAACCTGTGGTCCTTCAGAGGCTATTGGACTTCAGCTCCCATCAGCCCCAGCCATCATTGCTGATGTACAAGGATAATGGCAGTTGTAGTCTCACCACTAGTGATGTATGGAAGTGAGAGCTGGACCATAAAGAAGGCTGATCGCCGAGGAATTGATGCTTTTGAATTACGGTGCTGGAGGAGACTCTTGAGAGTCCCATGGACTGCAAGAAGATCAAACCTATCCATTCTGAAGGAAATCAGCCCTGAGTGCTCACTGGAAGGACAGATCGTGAAGCTGAGGCTCCAATACGTTGGCCACCGCATGAGAAGAGAAGACTGCCTGGAAAAGACCCTGATGTTGGGAAAGGTTGAGGGCACAAGGAGAAGGGGACGACAGAGGACAAGATGGCTGGACAGTGTTCTCGAAGCTACCAGCATGAGTTTGACCAAACTGTGGGAGGCAATGGAAGACAGGAGTGCCTGGCGTGCTCTGGCCCATGGGGTCACGAAAAGTCGGACACGACTAAACGACTAAACAACAAAAGTCTCACAGCATGTGAAGGGCCACAGGTTCTCCACCCCTGTTCTAAAAATGTTGTGTAGTGGGGTCTCCTAACACCTCCCACCACCCTTAACAAACGACAGTTCCCAGGTTCTTTGGGGGAAGCTAAGACTGCCTAAAGTTGCATGAAGTTGCTTTAGCTAAATTGTGCAGATGGATCATAAATAAAGTTATTTGACTGAACGCTGTTAAATTATAGCACCATTATTCAGTGGTTCCTAACATTCCAGCATCCTTGTTTGGACAGGGTAAGTGCCCCAGACTTGCGGTCAGTAAGGCTGCATTTAATTCTGGCCCCAGTTCCTTGAGTGCCTGTTTACCAAAGATAACCATGAATTTGTCGTAATTCAGCCGGACATCCTGGGAAACCACTCACCGCACTGTACTCTTGGGAGATTGTTATCAGCTTCCTGAGTGGCAGGGGCCCCAGAATGGACAAAGGAAAAGATGTGTGTGTGTGTGGAAAAGTGCCTGCAACAGAGCGAAGAACTGGCACCTGCCTTCCAGAAGCAGCATAGAAAGAAAAAACGATTAGCGTTCCTTCCTTGCTTACAGCCTCATGCAGACTGGTGGTGTTCTGTCTTCTGGAATCCCCTGCCCCACCCATCTAGTGCAGTCATCCCTAACTGGGGGTCTGTGGACCCCGGGGAATTCTGCGTAACCCACCCAGGAAATCTGGGGCACCATTCAGATAACAAA